AATGTGGAGCACACGTAGCACCATGTAATTGATACTGATGTGTTCTGTGAGAAAATGCTACTCCTCGTTGATCTAAACTTCATCACATGCCATAAGAAATATCGTAGTGAAAATTTATGCGGTAATGTTAGACTCGATTACTGTAAAGAAATGGTAAAATCAAACACCCGATGAACTCTCTTCTGAAGAATCAGCGGGCAAAACCGATGTTTGAGTAGAAGAAAAACGACCACGTGCACTGATAAGGCAGCACTGATTCATAGGCGCTTTTCGAAATCAAAATCGTTGAAACATTCCGAAGTGATGAAACATCTTAGAATTACTGAGATAAACAAGGGCACGTTACCATGCTATCTCAAGGAAATATAGAGGAATGGTATGAAGAGGTGCAATGGTTATACTTAATATTTAATGCCAGGAATGTCGGTGAGTTGGAGCACACCTAAATTATTTTTATTAGTGACTACAAATACTATGATTCATAGGAGTTTTGGCTTACAAGCCATACAAGAACAATACTAGAAGTGCTAGGCTTCAGGTGGACAAAATAGTAAAGATATAAAAGCGATTCGAGTTCACTGAAGTAATAGGGCGTAAATTGTGTTGGGTCAGACTCGGATGTTGTCACCTATGGGCGACATTCAGGCGCCTGCCGTCACAGAATTCATTTATGGTTCAATGGCCCTCAAATGGCTTTACCTTACCTCCTTTCGAAACCACTGCCCTTTTCGTAGAACCAATCGCTTTTAATGCTTTAAAAAATTAATAGAGAATATCCATTTGTGTCTCTCTTGCGCATATTCAGATGAAAGCGTTCATACATTAATAAAGCTCTTCAGGCATTTTAATCGTACAATGCCCCAATCGATTGGCAGAAGGATAAAAATAGGTCACATTTATATGTAATAGAACTTAATAGAGACAGATTCGTTGGTAATCACTGAGAAAATAGGCAAACGGTAATAGATCTTTGTGTAGAAAGGTATATCCACATTCATCAAATCAGCCATCTACCCCACCCCCATTTCCGCGTTCACTGTCTCAGTGCTTGATAGCAAGAGTAGAATGTAAGCGACAACGTTCATCAAGGAGTTCAACAAGCGATGGGAATAATGTATTTCCACGCTTAGTTGATATTCGTTGATGATAGTAAAGAAAAACGTTTGAATTACTGACTGAAGTAATCAAATAAACGACAACTATTTTTTGCCAGCGGAGCATGTTGGGCAGTCTTCTTCACGACCGAAACGAAAACAAAAAATTTGACAGATCCTTCAGAAAGAACTAATTGTGCTTCTATGGTGAATATCATATACGTATGCGATAAAGATGATCATGGTAAAGGTGAACACGGATTTGTGTAATTCATGGTTTTCTCGAAGAGATGACAACAAAGTCTGAACACCTCATTTTGGTGACGCTCAGCCCTAAACCTCCAAATTGCTTGAGTTCGGAACAAAAAGTGCAGAACTAATCGTTTGGCGTCAAGCTATTGAAGACTCTTACTGGGGCTTAACTATAGCTTGACGTCTTTCGGAGTCTTTTTCAAACGTCAATTTGATTGAAAAAAAACCTTCATGCTATTGCTATTGTTATCACTACCGTTTATATCACATTGTTATTATTATCAGTGCTGTTTCTAGTTTCTTTTGCTATCAGCACTACAACATCACTAGCATTTCCCGTCCAAAAATATCTCAATTCAGCAAATCGTGAGACTACATAGCGCATTTCCAGAGGTTGAACGTGATGATAAACCAGCCGTGTGTTTCCCCTGGTACGTACTTGACTAAAATGATGGACTTTCGCTCTTGCTGTGTCTGACTGACATAAGATTACCCAAATTTTCGGCTCCAACAACGTCATGATCTCAAGAGAATGGGATGAACTAGAGCAGCGCAGTAATACTTTACTTCTAACCCAACAATTAGCTCCCTCTCCTCGCGATCACTCTAAATAACTAACACATTAATTTGCAGTACATCAAGCTCTTACGATGGGCCTCAAGCAAGAGGAGTCATTCGGGTCATTTAATTACTGATAAATTTTAAATTCTAAGGTGGAGCTTTTTACCGCCAACTTTACAAAAACTTAAACTTCACTGTAATTCGTATTTGAAACTCAATAATCAATGTTAATTCTGCAATTCAAATTAGCTTTGTTGTCGGAATTAATGTACTCTCGGGTCGGAAGTCGTTATCGCTTCGTTTCTCAATCGCACGAGAAAATAATACACTCGCCAGCAATTTCTCGGCTTTTTATGACCATCATTACTTAAGTGCACAAGTTCTCATTCACCGATGGTATTCGCTCTTACGAATACCTTCGTTTACACTCCTTTGGGATTTGATGTTTCAAAGATATTAGTTGAACTTACATTACAAAGAGAGGACATTGTGGGGGGGGGGGGTCGAGAAAACTGCGTTGTGTAGTTTTTCAAGAGCGATTTTAGAGAAGGAGCAGGTCGAATTTAGTACGTTCACGAGTGTTAATGAACAGACAAACTAATTCCTCTTTGATGGAAATTTTATAGTGATTATTGACCCATCTGTGATAATCACTGCTTCAACATTATTGGTTCACGCAACGTGGTGAACTTTCTACTTTCAAAAAATATTATCACTTTCCGTATTTGTATTTTATGTTGTACTAAATCTTCCTTTATGTTATTCCTATACTACAACTTTCTATTTAAGGATGCAAGATGGACTCCAAAACTCTAAACCTCGGGTGGGAGCTGAACCAGCGTTTCATTCCTACCATGGAGAGCGTGCTAACCTCTATACTACCTAGATCCTCGTTCTGTTAATGTTCTTTCCGCGACATCGAAGCTGTTATCAACCAACCGTCGGCGGGTGCGATCTGGTAAGCACATCGGCATTTAACGCAGTTAAGCTCATAGCTACTGGATATATGTAATCTACAAGATTTTTTGATTTCACCACTTTTAAAGGTGTTACAACTGCTGGTTCATGACTACACATTATATCGCAGATAGGGTGATAGTAGAGCAAAGACCTCGTGGTGATGTGGTATAGTTAAAACAATTTAACATTGCTATAATAAGAAAATTCATCCAGATTATGGCTTTTGAACCAATTAAACTTTATCGTTTCATTTGCATAACTCATCTTCTCTTTTAAGTAGATTTTTTCAAATTATCATGATTTTACGTATTTGTAATGCTTTTGTATGCTACTTCTTGTTTTATCTAATGACTTTATAGGATTCTATTTGTTTCCTATATATTTAACCTCAGAAATCTTTCACCTAATTTCTGAAGGAATGTGATCCATATGTGAAGGTTCGCTAATGAAAAATCATAAGCTCAATATAAAAAAAACTATTCCTATAAGAAGAAATGCATTTACTAACCTATGTCACTTACCTATGTTGATCTATGATCAGAAGCATATCAATAATATGAAAGTACCAGAATCCACAAGGGCAACAATGTATTGGAAATGTGACCAAGTCATTAAGAGACAATGGATAGAGAATTTTATTTCCAAGCGAATCAGTTACGGTATCGAATTTCTCCTGAGCTGCTATTAACCATATATCATATTCTATTCATATCTATTCGTGTTCATTTTGAAAGATCTGAGAAATGTCAGAAGTTATCTTCTTGCTTTCCAAGTTTTCTGAATAATTTGCCCCAAGAATCGCAGCGACATTTCAGCGACTCTTCTTAGAATTATTTACTGAATTATTCATTTGTAATCTCCAACTACTGCCCTATGCTTGGCAAGGCGGGGTACTGAAACCTACGTGGATCAGCAAAATACAGTCTAAGAAATTAAAACATGAGAATGGTCGTAGTTGATTGAGAGACTCTTTTCTGAAAAGAACTCGGTTCATCGTCCAAAATAAGATATCCGTCCGAGATCATCCAGCCGGCGATGTACCTCTCTGAGTCTGTTTGGTGATAAGCGCTTATTTCCAGCACCTGCCCTCTCTCCGTAAGTATGTGTAACTGTAAAGTTCGACTGATAAACAGCGGGTAATGAGATGAATGAAATAGCGGAAAGAATAGCAGCAGACTTATTACGTAATTCATCACGTGCTGTTGACGTCGTTATCTTTTCATCGTTCAAGTCCTAACAACATTCAGAGCTTAGACACATGATTTTTGACTAGAACCCCGACTAGATGATCTATGAATTGATTTGTGATAGAAGAAAAAGACTTTCCAACAGAGGTTGAAAGTCATCTTAAGTCAAAATGATGGTGAAAGTGACCCCTACACAGTATGCGCAAGCATGTTAAATTCGTGCGATCCCGAGTTTTTCTATATAACATAATTAGTTGCATTCACGATGGCAATATCCTGCTGTCAACTTCAAGTCTCGAACGAATGCAGCATAATTGATGCTCAAGACAAAAACATGTGCTGGGTTGTTTGACAAATAACCATTCAAAAAGCAATAAAACAAAACGTGGATATTGATAGCGAAAGAAGCAACAATAAGAAAATCGAGCACTGTTAAAGTGCAGAGAATGAGTTTGAATAGGCAGAATTATGACATGAATTGGAATGACAAGTGAGAGTATTCGTTTTCGTCAAGGTGAACGCTTTCTATGACAGCTGCAGACAGTTCATCGCCCAGATGTCACAGCGACTTGACGACGATCCACAAATGGTTTGTGACATGACGATAAGCAAGGACAGCTTCTGAGCTCCTAAGATTTTTGAACCATACAACGTTTGCTTGATGAAACTCATGGTCCTCCTAACTCTGATGAACCAGCTGTTTTATATGCAATATATCACGGCAAGTTACCAGTGAAATTTTCTTATTCTTGACATAATCGTGATGAATGAAACGTTATGTAAAAAGGAAAGAATTCCTGTTGCCTTGATCACTAGCACACGCTTAAAGACTCAATAGGCAAAAAAAATGTCGAAATTGGAAGAGAAATGAATGAACTTCAGATATAATGCATTTAAGAGATTACAGAGAAAGCCTGGAAATTAACTGAGTGGAGAGCAAAAGTACGGCCTCAGGCGGGAGTCGAACCCGCGTTACATCTTCAGCGGGGACGCGTGCTACTACAACTACACCACCGATGCTCATTTGTGCCACCACTCATTCTTCAACATCTCTATGTTAGCTATCAGCCACCAACCTTTAACGGGTTTGGTCTGGTATGCAATTTCGCTTTATAAGCCCAGTGAGGTGACAGCCATTGTTAGATGCAATACTCCGAAACTCTAGTAGTTTTACTGCTTTTTTTGTATGTAACATCATAACAGTGCGAAAAAAATCAATGAAAGTACTAGAATTACGTAATATTATATCTAACAGTGGCTGTCAGCTCAACTGACTTCATAAAGCGAAATCGCATACCGAACCAAACCCGTTGAAAGTTGGTGGCTGATAGCTAACATAGAGATATTGAAGAATGAGTGGTGGCTCAAATGAGCATCGGTGATGTAGTGGTAGTAGCACGCGTTCGCGGTATGGATGAAGCGCGGGTTCGATTCCCGCCTGAGGCGGTGTTTTGCTCACCACTCAATTCCCTTAGGTTTATATGTAACATCATGACACTGCCAAAAAAAAAAAGCAGTGGAAGTCTTATGGAAATCATTCTGAGCTATTCGCATGAATTTACAATAACCAATATTGTGTCAAACACACATAAACATCGAATTTTTCGCGGGTTCTAGGAAAGTCTTTTCTCAACTTAGTATAATGCCCTATTTAAGAACGTCCTTGAATACCTTTCCTACGTCTGCAATTTTGAGACCACGCTCAGGATATCACAAACTGTCAATAATTTTGAGCCTTTCATGAGGTCTTCTATAACACTCATACAGTGGTAGTCACGTGGTTCGGTATTACATCCTCGTCAGTTGCACAGTGGCTCTTGGTTCAGTCAGTTCAACGAGATCTACCCCTTACATAAAGGAGTCGACGAGGCACAGTGCAACTGACAAGTATGTAAGGCCGAAACACGTGTATATCACTGTATTAGTGCCCATTACAGACCAGATGCATGGCTCAAAAAACTATCAGGCATGTCGAAATTTGAGCGCGGTTTCAAGAGACATTTGAAACAAAAGATAGGGAAGATAACTGTACTAATAGGCAAAATAAAACACAAAATTGATACCTAGAATTAAAAGATATACTGGTTGTTTTTTGTCATCCGCGAACAAATAAATATTCGACTCCATTTGCTGGAGAAGAATTTTCACGGAGCGTTAGTGATCATTCGAAAGTTCATGTTTCTGGCTAGAGCGCTGCGCGGCTTTTCAAAACGCCTTTCTATAACGCTGCAAAATTCCAAAAAAATGTTTCACACCACCATGCGTTATATTTAAAATTTTTTCTCCATGAAAGATCCTCGAGATAAAACAGTCGACTCAGACACTACGGATTTTCCGTACACGTTCATATGCTTTTCGTACCTCCAGCTTATTAAAAGCTTGAAAAAATGAAGGCAAGCGCGTGTACGAGGTAAATTTTACTTTGTATGCTACAGCGTTGTGAAAGGGTCTTTTCGAAAAATGGCCATGTAGAGCCCTAGCCAGAGATTCAAGCTTTCGAATCATTATGAACATTCCTATGGAAACTTCTTGTCCACCGAGAGGAGTCGTTTCTTAATTTTTTCCAGATGACGGAAAAGAACAAATACAGTGATTTACAAAAGAAGAAAATTAGTAAAACACAACCGGAAGCTAAGCGCAACACCCTGAAGAATAAGGGAAGCTAGAAAATAGAATAAAGAAAAAGGAAAACAATGGAATACAAGCAGCCCTAATAGTTGACGGAGGCTTTGGAAGAAAAAAGCCAAAAGTGAAGATTTTCTAGCACAGAGCTTTTGGAAAAAAAGAATTATCGACTCAAACTACTTTGAGCTTTGTAAAATAAGTAAAGTCGTTAGAAATGCCTTACAGAGATGAACGTGTTCACTTTTACCATATAATCATCCGACACTTATTAGAGAAGAGGTATTGCGGAAAAAGAGCTGATGGTGGGGAGTTTGTAGTGTCGATGTTAATCATGAAAAACAGGTGGCCGGCGTTTGCAGTGACGTTCAACAAACATTCTGGGGTGATCGGTCACCGAACAAACATAGCCCTAATGAATCGCAAGAATAATGACGGTTTAGTCGACAAACGAACATAATAGTAGCTCGACGTTGAACACTTGTGGACTTCCTCTTGAGGAAATCCATTTTAGCCTGAGTGGATTCTCTTTAGAAAACAACAGATTCCGAAGAAAAATTGTTGAGAAAAACAAGTTTCATGCAGAATTTGTCTATAATAATCATGAATCCAACCAAACTGCTCAACATATAGCTAGTCTTATGCGTTGATAAACTATGCATATTCGTTCCCACTGTTCATTTTATTGCAAGAAGTCTATACGCCATACTTTCGAGTCGATAAATTATCCAATACATCGCAGCGAATTTGGTCCGTATAAGCTATTCACTACACGCAGTACTTAATGAAAACCGCAATTAGGCGTAGTCATAAGAGACCGCCATGTCAAAAATAGCACCTAATCTGTCACAATTATCTCTTTTGATGTTGAAAAATGCAAACGTCAAAGCTTAGACGATGAGAGGGCACAATTTTCTCGTAGAAACAGAGAAATTCTATCAAGAGAGTCTCCTTATACTAAGAAGTGACGTGTTCTCGCAGTGAACATAGGAGTTCTTTTCTGGCTTCCTAGTTGACACAGATGAAAAAGTGACTATATTTTTGGTCGCAAATAGAATTTCTTTATTTTTTGTAATTGATGTTTGAAAGTCACATGCTCAACAAATAGTATTCATCTAGCTAATAGAGAAAACAATAACCAATCGTGGTGACCTCAACTGTAACAACATCTGGAGAATTGATGACAATTGTTCAACCCGAATATCTATTTGATTCTTTTACAACTAACCATAATCGTTCTCTTTCCCAACACATTCTTGCACCAGGTTCATTGACATTTGACGACGACTTTTCAATTTTTGGAGAAGCTGAATATGCATATACATATATGATTATATGTACATAAATACGATATATATATGTACATGTGTATATGCACGCACATATATATATATATATATATATATATATATAATGTATGCGCTAGCCGGTAAGATGTTTGAGTGCCGATTAGACCTCAGAAGGCATCGTTCGGGATATCTGTGAGTTGTTCGCAGTAGTCCTGACGTGGTCGAAGTATCAGCCCCGTCTCTGCTGAATAAGAGAGCTCTGCGAGGACTGTCGAATCAGAAGGTGAGCAGGAAGTTTGAGGCCCGCTATCTGGTCTATGGCTTCTCTAAGAGGCCCGAATGCGGCCCATGCTGCTCTCCTTCTTCTGTCTAGTTCCTCCTTCACATTGTTCGCCATCCTCATTGAACGTCCAAGGTATATGTACAAGGTAGTCTCTTTGAATATAATGTGATATATAAATAATATAAAAACTTGATTCTTCATGAACTACATATATATATATATGCATATGTATATATATATATACATATATATGTATATACATATGTATATATATATATATATATATATATGAAGAAGTGAAGAGTTATCTTCAAGTATATTTTGCGCCTAGTTCATTTTTAAGGGCAGGGTACGATGTGAAATATGCACTAAATATTGCAAGAATTTCCAGAAATTGGTCTAGAACTACAACAGTGCCAATTTTTGCACAAAACGTGGAATTCGAGATGGCTTTGAACCTTCATTTATCCTTTCCGGGCTCATGAAGTCTTCCACTGCACTGCCTAAATCCCCAATTTGCTCTTCCTCAGCAGTATTTCCACTTGTTCGGCTGTCATTGAAAAAATGTCACGTGAATTTCAGATACTTGATGATCAACTTGAAAGAATGAAAGAACGTGTATATTGTGGACAAAGATCTCTGAAACCTGCTGGCTTTATTCAACTTGATAAAGCTCATTATGAGCTGAGATATATCTGCTCAAATCTTAAACGAGCTTTTAAATCGCATTGCATGACTGTATGATTCACAAAGGGACAAAGGTGTCTGGTGATGAAATCATTGGATGGAACTGTCCGTGATGAAATCATCGAATGATATTTCGCGGCCTCTCTCAGTGGGTTTATATAGTACCAATGTCGGAATTGAAGAGAGGGTATAGAAGGAGCAAGGAGCAAGGAGCAATTTCCAAATTGATGGTGGCTATCTGAAAGAAGGACCGACTTCTTTTATTTATAAGCGAATAACTAAACAATCAAGTAAACAAATAAATAATTGTGTATGTATGCACGTATATATACGTATGTATATACGTATGCTTATGTACACATATATACTTCGTTATTCTTTGCGACAGTTATTCATGAGATGGCCGGCTTCGTATATGGTGACCGCGTTCATGAGAATAGTACGCAGAGGAAAGCAATGTCAGCCATGGATATGACTGATTCATGGCGTCAGCAAACACTCTCACATCGCTTCTTCTTTACGATTTCAGTGCACTATGGTCGTAACCGTGCTTTTCCAGGGACTCTTTCGAATTTCTTTTTCGAATATTATTCTTCTTTTCTTCTTGAATATGATTGGCTCAATTACTGAAAAAGTAATAATATATAAGGAGTGGGTACTTCTTTAGTAGTAATGTCATCACGAGCAAGGCGTTAGTTCGTCACTTCTCAAGGAATCAAGCATCAAACCGTCAATCTGGGACTGGGAACATGATACAGACATGTCTAGGGCTCAGCTCACGCTATACAGTCCACGTTGGATAGCCTAACACGAATTTAAAGGAGAATCGACTCCATCTTATTTCACGACATTAATAACGAAGACAAAAATTCTTAAACGATAGTCGAAGACGTACGTAAAAAAATCAAACGCCTCTATATTCCATTTATGCGATGAAACGATTCAAATGTATGATGCCCTAGGGTCCACACAATGTGTGGTGCTGGATGCGTAGAAAAACAAATAAGATTAATACAAAAATATTAGTGAGAATATTGGTACTAAAATGTATGTTCAAGTTTTTTGGAGGTTGACACGTCAGTGCTTTATATACGTTTCGCCGGTATCGCTCCTTTCATCAGAGACACACGCCCCACTAATATTATATTAACAATAAATAATAACGATATATTCCACTGTAGTACATGCAAAAGAGTGATTAGGGGTATCGTGCAATTCACATAAAGTCGGTCACTTCTTCACAATCTATAGGCTTCCAATTCCATCGGTGTGACTCTAACCTTTTGTTTCGAGTGTTTCCTTAAGACCACGCTCAAATTTCAACATATCTCGTAATGATTATTTGAGCCAACATGTCATGTGGTCTGTTAAATTTGAATTGAAATTTGATTATTCCACAGTTTTTGATCAAACAAGCGCCCTTTATTCGTCAGTTCAATAAGGTCCTTACATGACACGCATTTAGGGATTCAGTTTACTACAATGTACATGGACAAATCATCTTCGGATCATTCTTTTGCAAGTAATGCATAAGAAAGTATGTTGGTTGAAGTATAAATGAGCGT